TAGTATATATTATTCACAACTGTAAGTAGTACATGGAACTTCTGAATGATTTCTGCTACGACACTTTCCCTTTCTCGAGTAAATTTTTAAAGAACACGTGTTGGTGCTAATCTGAGTGATATATTGGATATCTCTCTAAAATAATACTTTGATGTCTGGGTGATGCATTGAAAACATTTCCACCGCGTACAAAGAGCAGTAAGTAATACTTGTTATGAGAAAATGTCATGTATCCAAACATGTGAGCATATTCTTTATTTATGGGGAATCTACTAAATCTCCTGTTATTGAACCTCTTCCCTTCGGACTGTTATTCTGAAACAATAGTAGCAACTGAATATATGATTTAAATTGTTGTCAGGCCATTGTCGATATGGTGCAGATCTGGCTCAACAATTATCAGGTTCATTGCACAATGTGTTAACAAGCTGTGGAAGTGTTAGAATTTCTTTCTCTAGAAGAACTCCACAAAAGGTATCAGAAGTACACTCTCAAGCAGTATTAGTGTTCTTCAAGGCCTCTAATTTTCGATTTCAAATGTGCTTCGTTTTATTGACAGGTATCTGACATTATATTAAGGGAACTAGGTGATCATCCCAAGGTGTATGTGTGGAGTGGCAAAGGTGATCTTCATTTTCATGCATAGGATTTTGCAAATTACTGAATTATCATAAAGTTTGATTACTGACTATTTTGAAACTATCCAGGTCCAAATCCTCATATGGGTCACCTAGCATGGGCTGATGCTTTTGTCATTACTGCTGATTCAGTTAGTATGTTGAGTGAGGCTTGCAGCACAGGGTAATGAATGATTGACAAGATCTTTTCATAATTCATTATTTGAATATAAATTCTTCGAGAAAGTATTTGTTTGTTTTTTTTTGTTTTTTTTTTTGGTTCTAATGCTGAAACTTGCTTAGGTTTGTTGACCATGTTACATAATCCTGCAGAAAACCTGTATATGTCGTTGGAGCTGAGCGTTGCAAATGGAAATTCTCTGCCTTCCAGAAGACTCTTCGTGAACGGGGCTTGGTCCGCCCATTCACAGGTTTAGAGGATGTAAGCGTTTCTCTCTATCTTATTGTAGTATTTCCCTTCCAAATCTATTGAAGAGATTAGGTGAAGTTTGACCAGTGTAATAAATATTTATTGGATAACTTTTTAGTCAACTTAATGTCCATCCTCTTTCTCTAATATTTTAGTATCTCTATGCCCCTTCCAGCTTACTTTTTATTTCTTTTCATTATAACTTACAGATATCTAATAGTTGGAGCTATCCTCCCCTGAATGAAGCTGCATATGTAGCTAAAAGGGTTCGTGAAGCTCTTGCAGAGAGAGGGTGGACGCTACGTTGACACAAACTGTACCTCAGAGCATATACATACACGTTTCACGGTTACATTCAAAAATTAATTCAATGCTTACTGTTTTTGTTGAGGATTTTGAGAGTTATATCATAAATTTGGCATTAGCCCGGCTTGTAAAATACGAAGAGTGATGTGCAAAATCAACTTGGCTACAGATTCTGAATTATAGTTTTGCATTGTAATTACCCAGTATTTTGCGATATGAGAGACCAAACAGTCTCCTTACAGAATTTGATTTTGTCGGTACCGTGCTTTAATGTTTATCCTCCATCCTTGTCTTTTTGGTCGGGCACCAATTCAGGATAAAAGAGGGTTGCGTTAAGCGGGGGACAATCAGCATAAAATTAGTTTATCTGTATGATATGAGTTCTAAAAACACTTATGTTCTATAATAAATGTGAAACTCTTGAGAGTAGGATGACTAAAAATCATGTTCCACAATTTCAAAGTTGTCAATTTGCATCCATGTTTGTAGAAAGAAATGAAGGTACTTCGCTGATTCTTTTTTTCCCCCCCACACATAACGGAGAACTTTTAGTTGCCATTTTTGTTTGTACATGAGATACTCCAGCTCCCAAAATTGTTTCATAATTCCATCTTCAATTATGATCAGCACTTTACTCCCTGTTGGAGTTAGTTTACAACCAACCTCTCCTCCTGCTCCCTAATCTGCACCAGTACAACAAACCTCTTAACCAAAACATTCTCTCTCACCTGTTCAAACTCTATATATTTCCCTCCAATCTCACACTTGATCATCAACCAAGCTCACCTCTAAAAGTCTTAAGACCTCTCATTCCAAAATCATCAAGCATGAACTTTGCAGGGCCCTCCTCCACCGAAAACGTCTTCAATGACGAGGAAAAGGCTCCAATGGCCGCCCCTCCTCATTCTGTTCCTCCTCCAAGCACGTCAAGAGCTCCGAGGTTTGCGTTCTTCAGGAAGGCACAGCGCGAGAGAGGATGGAGGAGAGGAATCGCTTTGTTCGGCTTCATTCTGAGGCTCTTGGCGATTGGGGCCACGCTCTCAGCCACCATCGCCATGGCTACTACTGATGAGACCCTCCCGTTCTTCACTGATCATTATCAATTCTATGCAAACTTCTCCGACCTTCCAGCGTTAACGTAATTATGGCTATTTATCATCCATGTTTTGTTTTATTGGCACATGTATCTGCAAATAACCGAGTATCTAGTGTTAACTCCCTAAGCTGAATCATAAATATCATACATGTCGAGGTTGTCACAAATAAACTGCATCCGATCTTTACGAGGGATTAAGCGAATAGTCTGACATTCAGATTTCCCTGCAGGTTTTTCGTGATCGGCAACGCAATAGCAGCAGGATACCTGGTCCTGTCACTTCCCTTGTCCATTGCAGTCATCATCTGCGCATGCAGTAGCGGCGCTCACCTTTTTCTCCTTATCCTCGACCTCGTGAGTCCGAAACTTTGCCATAATTAACTTTGAGTCTGCATCTATCTGATGAACTAATGAATCAAACATGATTTGAGTTCAGGTTATGGTGGCTCTGACAACAGCAGCGGCCTCTGCTGCAACGGCGATTGTGTACTTGGCTCACACTGGCAATGACAAAGCCCACTGGGTCGCGTTCTGCATCAGGTTCGACGGGTTCTGCGAGCAGAGCAGCGGGGCTCTGGTGGCCTCGTTCGTCGGGATCGTGATCTTGATGATGATGGTTGTGACGTCCGCCCTTGCTCTCAGGAAACACTAAGAACTTATACCGTGATTATGCTGTTTACGATTCTGTTGTACTCTTTGTGTTTGTTGCTTGAGGTTGTGAACTTAATTTGTTGTACTTTGTGATCATATATATTCGTACGTAATCTGGAAGTGTTTTATTAATCCATGCATGTTTGTAACTTGGAGAGGGGATTTTATGAAAATTGCAATGATTTCAGTTTTGATTGAAGTATGATATCACAATCTTATGATAGTGGACTGATTTACAAATTTCGGCTTTTTTTTAAAGAAACGTCGCATTTTACCGAAAATTTGAGTAGCGTGAAGTTGAATAGTTGATAGCCAATTGTGATAAAACTTGTGTCAAAGTTTATGTTATACACATTGTCTGAGAAAAATCTTTTTATAAAAAATTTTTGTAAGAAATCGTAAGGGTTGATCCTATACAGAATTAAAAAATTGCTTTCCTTTTATGTTGGTCACAATAGGAAAATATTTCAAAAATGGAGAATTAATTATATTATTACAGTAAATATATTTTCAACTTTTAATATATAGGAGGGGAGCAGGAAAATCGTAGACAATTTTTGTGTATTTAAGTATTAGACATTTAAAATCAATGAAGAAATAAATAACTCAAACATACTAACATTTTCTTCTATATTTTACTTCATAATTTCTTAGTCGTCATGGATGAAGTAAAAACTAAAAAAAAAACACAATAAAGTAAATGATTATATTTTGAGGACGCCCATGATAGCTTCCACTTACGCCCGGACTAAAATGAGCTGTCGCTCGTGACATGTCACGTGCAACCGGACAAGGTAAAGTGCCGCTCCCATCAACAGATTCCCTATTTAATTACGAGAAAGCCCCACCCTTTTCTCTTCTCATCATCGATTCTTCCTTTCGCGGGATATACAAATCCCTAATTTCTCTCTTAAAAAAAATTAAAAGAAAAAAAAAATCTAGGGTTAGGGTTTTTAATCGAAGATGACTCAGAACGGGAAGCTGATGCCGAATCTGAACCTCGATCAGCAGAGCACCAAAGTCCTGAATCTGACTGTTCTTCAGAGGATCGATCCCCATGTGGAGGAGATCCTGATCACGGCTGCTCACGTTACTTTCTACGAATTCAACATTGAGCTCAATCAGTGGGTATGATTTTGATCATATTTGATGATTTTTTCTGTTTGATTTTGGTTTCGGGATCTCTGATTAGGGTTTTGGTTTGGATTTGTGACCTTAGAGTCGTAAGGATGTTGAGGGATCTTTGTTTGATCTCTGATTAGGGTTTTGGTTTGGATTTGTGACCTTAGAGTCGTAAGGATGTTGAGGGATCTTTGTTTGTTGTTAAAAGGTAACTAGATCCCTTAGAGTCGTAAGGATGTTGAGGGATCTTTGTTTGTTGTTAAAAGGTAACTAGATCTAAGGAATTTGATCTTCTTCGTTTGATTGCTTGAGATATTATTATTTTTTTAATATTTTTTTCAATTGTGATTTATGCAGAAACACGCAGCCGAGATTCCAGTTCATTGTTATGAACAGAAGGAACGCAGGTGTGTAATTTCCCCCCTTTCATTTGTTTGATTAATTCGATGTTTTGGCTACGGGTAAATGGAGGTTGATGTGTTAGCGAGTAGCAATAGTGGTAGGATGCGAGTAGATCGAACGGATTAAGGAGGTGAAAAGCACGGGTAGTCATACGTTATGTCTAATTCACATGGTCATGCTACTCTGTACTTTCAAAGAGTCTAATTGTGATGTTTGCCATTGACATTTATTGACTTCGTTAGCCCTTACACTTGAAAGAAGCTATCTTGACTTTTAAGTATGCTTAGCTTCAGCAATTACATCATAGAGCAGTCAAATATGCCATATTATGTTAAAAAACATGAGGCACGCCTGGTATAGCTGTTTTTGACAGATTGCAGCTGCAAATATATTTGTTGTTGATGAATTCTTGTATTATGGAGTCGCTAGAAGTAGCGTATCAAAATCACGGTTCTGTGGGGTTTCAAGTATGCGACAGGCCATGGCTAGATGAATCCAAGCCATGGACATCTTCTCAAAACCTTAGTTGTTTGATGCATCAGATTGACAGCAGCTCATATATGCAACTTTACACATGAATAGAGGTGTAGGTACGTACATATTTTTAGCTGACTCATTTTGCGTCACAGAAAATTTGGTGGAGGATATCTTGGGAGATTTTGAGTATGAAATCCAACCTCCATACTTGTTGTACCGGAATGCAGCTCAAGAAGTTAATGGTATATGGTTTTACAACCAACAAGAATGTGAAGCTGTTGCAGCTCTTTTCCAGAGGTCAGTACTTAGTGGTTCAAAAACTTACACCTCATGTACAACACATGCATTTCCAGTATCCTTTGTCATAAAATTTGATACTTAAATGATGTGCTAATAATTATATTGTTTTCGTATTGTTAAGAACAAAACTTCCATCATTTAGTAGACTTTTCAAAATAATGTCTGTAACCGACAGATAACTTGGCAAAGCATCTAATTATTTCAAAAGAATGTCTGTAACCGACAGATAACTTGGCAAAGCATCTAATTTCATAATCAAATCATGTTCTGTAAAGTATCTAATTTCGTACAATTCGTTCATAACATTTCTCACCTACATGACATGGCTTCATGTCTGAAGGCATCTGTGCTACATAGTTGATATAAAATATCATGTTCAAAGCTAAGTGGCGATTGCACACTTTTGTATGTATGTATCTGTCTTTATAGAAATGTGCTCATCATTATTCTTGTTGATTGGGTATCATTCAATACAACATAATTCTATAGTTATGCAGCCACTTGTTAGTATGAATTCTTGCTTTCTAGGATATATTATTATCTGACGTTAATTTCTAAATTTAGTATGCATTATTAATGTCCATGCCAACGACTTGAAGGTACCTTGATCACAAGATTGTCTTTAAGTAGAAAGAAAAAAAATGCCAAGCTATTCTTAATATTTCTTGAGAATCAGAAACCAACCGAAGTTATGATGGAGTTTTTCTTCAAAGAGGAATCAAGTCATCTTGATAATACTGAATTCTGATTCCACTGTCTGATTCTGATTCCACTGTCTGCTGGCTGACCCTTCCTTATTTTCATTTCATGTTTATCATGCGATATGGCTATTTACATTTCAGCAATCAACACAACCATTGTTTGAGGGAACAAGTTATGATGTAAAGATCTTTAATTGTTTGTTAAACATATTTTTTCAATTTGATTCTCTTGCTTACAGATGACTCTTTGTTACGCCATAATGAACTTGCTTTGGTAGTGAAAGATCTTACCTACTATTTGCCATGATGTTTGTTACCATGATGGATATATTAGTGCTTGTTTATAAACTAAAATGTAGTCATGGGTTAACAAATTGCATACTTTGTTATATTTATTACTTGGTGATATTCGTCTTAAATGGTTTTGATGGTGCAGGATACTAAGTGCATTCTCTAAGGTTCCTCCAAAGTCTGGCTTATCTGCGGCTAAAAGGTATAGCATTAATATGTAGTAGACTGTATAGTTATTTCATTTTGCTGCAATCTCCATGAACTTCTGCATTCTAGTAATCGCATATTATAGGAACTATTGCTTTTGAAAAAATCATATGTAATTGCTAATTTTTATGTATTAATTCTTTTCAAATGGAGAGATGGGGACACATTTCCCCTTTGTTTCATTAATTAGACATTATTTGAGTCAAAGCACCTTCTGTTTCTTCAACTAGGCCTTATTTTGGGTCAATGACTCAAGGTGCCTTGTGAAGAGACCAAGTTAGTTCTGCGCACTTCAAATTTGTTGCCAGCAATCATCAATTAGTTTGTGCTATTGTTTTATACTATACAAAGATTCTTCTCTAGTTGAACGGAAATTTTATCAGCTAAAACACCAACTTGTGATAATTCATAGGCTTTCTGTTTATATATGCAGTACTGAGTTTGAGGAGCTGGAAGCTGTTTCGAATTTAGCTGTCATGGAGGGTCCTTTGGAGCCACAAACATCATCTGCTGCTAGTGTTCCTGATGCCCATATTCCTGACGATTCTTTTGTCAATTTTTTCACTGTAAGTACGCTTGTTAAGGTTCAATGCCAACTTTGTAGACATCATTTCACTGTCATACAGCATATAGATCATAGCACTTTTGTTGATAATTTGCTGCTATCCACCCAAGAAGCAGTCATGTCTACTTATTTTATTCTTGCACCTCTGAACCAAACCCATGACTGCGGGTTTTCGTACAACGACGATTCCATGATATAGTGGCTAGATATCTAAATTAGTTGTGGATAGCCCCCCCCCCCCCCCCCCCAACAAAACACACACACACACACGAAAAAAATAGTATATCTTTTGAACGTACTAGCCCTCAAGTTTTATTGTGCATATAAATCACCTGGGTGAATTTCACTTTTTACCTTAAAGAAAGAGAAATTTGTTTTTTTTGACAAGTAGACTCCCTAAGGTATAGTCAAAAAAAAAAAGAAGAAGAAGAAGAAGAAAACACAGGTTTCTATCTGCAACAACAAAACTAGAGGGTACAGGGGTTCTACCCGCAATTAACCAGACTTACATGTTTGCAGTTCTCATATCTATTTTGATAACCTAAGTAACTAAGTTATATGTTTGTTCTTCTGATATCTATTGTAATATGCAGGGAGCTATGAACATTGGTAATGCAGCAGGTCCAAATGCAGCTATGATGGGACCATCACATCAGTCTTCAAGTATTCCCTCATCTTCCCACTCAGTTAACATCATTCCATCGGCAGCAACTCCTTATCAATCTTCTCCTTCTCTTCCAACTCTACCCATTCCTTTGATACCCAATGAATATAGCGGCACCAGCAGCAACCGGAGCTCTGCCAATCTCATAAACCCTTCCCTTTTTGCACCACCAGCTTCATCTTCAGCTGCATTGTCGATGCCACCGATTGTTTCTTCTTCGATGCCAAGTGCTCCCCCACTTCAGCCTCCTATTACGATGCAGCGTCCATATGGTACTCCTTTGCTCCAACCGTTTCCACCTCCAACTCCACCTCCGTCTCTTACTCCTGCTCCTGCTGCCAGCTATGGCCCGGTGATTACAAGAGATAAGGTTCGGGATGCCTTGCTGCGGCTTGTGCAGGTATTTTTCTATGTTCACTTCCCTAAACTGTTGTTTAGCCAATTTGAACAAAAATGTAATTCATCTGATGAATATACGCATAAAAAATTGGGTTAATTGCAGATACATCCACTGTACTATGAGGATATAGTAGTCATTTGTATCACTTGAACTAATTTATTAGTACTTAGACTCCTTCGAGACTATCATTTCTACCGTTGGTTGAGATGCAGTTGGAAATCATGTTACAATAGCTGACCTTTTACCCTCAAGGTAGCTCTAAATCGAAGGGCAAAAGTAACGGCAATTGATATTCGGGGGGTTCAAGCATTAATAGAATAATTTAAGGATATAGTGCCTTCTACACTATATAGTGCAGG